CAGTTCACACCCTCACACCTAAACAACCAGGAGGGACCAGCTCTGGTGCAGTTCACACCCTCACACCTAAACAACCTGGAGGGACCAGCTCTGGTGCTTTCATATGTAACAAAACATGAGTCAAGGGAAAGCACTCAGTATAGATGTTATTATCCGAAAGCCTTCTTTGTTTCTGTGGTATGGGAATCACCTCTCACACACATCTCATACATGTAGTGACCAAGTCTACTGCATGGATCAACCCAGACCCCGTCTTTTCCTACTTCTCATCTCTTTCCATAACAAGCACTGCATTTTCTGTGACTCTATTGAGGTAGAATTCACACATCATAAAAACTAACCCATTTTAGTCATAAAATTTCAATGCATTTTTTGGTAAACTTATGATCTCTGAAATCACTATACTGTAGCTTTTGTGTTTTCTTTTTTGTTTAAATCAGCCCAGTAAGATCCCACTGCTTGCAGTTAATCTTCCTACTTTCCCCAGCCCCCGGCAACCACTCACCCACTTTCTGTCCAGACACATCTGCAGTTTGGGGGATTTCACAGAAAGGACTCATTCAGGCTGCAACTGCGCCTGGCTTCCTTTCCTTAGCACAGTACACGCTTCATCTGTATTGTAGCATGTACCAGAATATGGTGTATGTATACAGTAGACATGTTTGTATGGGAAGTGCATGTACACATGTGTGCATGTCAGAAGTTAGTTCTGGGTTTAAAAAAGTTTCCAACTTATTTTTTGAGGCAAGGTCTTACTCCAGTTGGAGCTAACAGATTAGGCCAGGCTCCCTGGCCAGCAAACCGCAGAAATGTTTTCGTTCCTGGGCCCCGCACTGGGGTTACAGGAACATGCCATTCTGCCGAGATGATCACATGGGTGCTGGGATCGGAACTCGGGACCCCAGAAGTGCAGGGTACACACTTTACTGACTAGGCCACCTCCTTGCACCCTCAGTCCTCCATTATGAAATAGGAAATAATATTCCACTGTATAATGACAATTTGTTTACAAACTCATCGCTATCTAAAAAAAAAGAATGTGTATTCTTTTAAGATTTTCGAAATCAGGAGACACCCCTGATGCTCAGTTTTCCAAGTACTTGGCTGCTCCCTCTTAGAGTCTCTGAGTGAAACTGCCATCAGAACAAAGTTCCCAACCTCCCCGAAGCGCCCACAAAGTTACAACAGGTGCACACCCACCCCCACGGATCTTTAAGGAACCACCTTAGTAGTGAGCATTAGGCTCAAGCTTCTTGTACTCAAGCAGTAGTGGGTTCCGATTTACAACATAAAGATTCAGCAGACGACAGAGTACAGCCTGGATCTTTTTGAATGATTAACTGGAGGGACGGGGAGGTCAGCTGAGGAGAGCACATGTGGGTGAGGATGGGGGTGACTGACATGACACGTCTTACTATTATTGGTGCTGTTGCCATTGAAAGACGCAGAGGAGCTGTTACTGTCTTTCTCCTTATCTTGGTTTTCAAAGTCCATATTAAGAGACCTGTGGGGAAAATTGAACAGGTTAGATTTCAGTTTTGCTTAAGAAAGAAATCAACAAGGCCAGTCATGAGACGGTATTCTAAAACGCTAAGTTACCGGGGGAAATGACAATCTCTTCTGAACTATGAAAACAGTCTACCATGCCAGTTCAACAGCTGTCTTGACTACTAAAAAATGCACTCCAGTGCAACTCAATCTTCCAGTCTCCCTTAACACTCATCCATCCTTCCTTCCTTCCTTCCTTCCTTCCTTCCTTCCTTCCTTCCTTCCTTCCTTCCTTCCTTCCTTCCTT